AATCTATATAAAATTATCTGTATCTTTTTGATAATAAGTTCGATATGGCAGTCCCACCTATAATGAGAATCGATGATAACTCCTAGATATTTGATTTCCTTCAGCGGTAATATATGGTGACGCTTATCATTGATAGTAACGGTCAAATTATCGAATATCGGTGATCCTGTTTTGTTACAACTGAATGGGTGATAGAGGGAATAGAGACAAGTTGATATAGGCATAGGAGAATTGTTCTTGGCCATTAATAACGAAGATACTACTTGGTGTTCCATCGGAGACGATTCACCCAAGTTTTCTCTCTTGTGTGGCTCCGACGGAATCCCACCGATTGTTCTCGAGAAATATGCTCCCGAACTAACAGATGTTCTCTGCAAGTTGTTTGACAACTCTTACAAATTGGGGATATTTCCGTTTAACTGGAAAATGCAAGAGTACAACCAGTTCCTAAAAAAGGCGGAAAGACGCTACCTAGCAACTATAGACCGATCATCAACGACAGGCAATATGGCTTTCGTCATCAGAAATCAAATGGTGATGTGCTCGCTTACGTTTCACGTATATGGCAGCAATCTATTGAAAAATATGGTGAAATCTTAGCCGTGGCACTTGATATCGCCAAGGCATTTGATCGAGTCTGGCACCACGGACTCCTTGCCAAACTTCCATCTTATGACTTCCCTCTCCAGCTATGTTCTCTGCTAGCTAGTTTTCTCTCAGACAGGTTTCTCCCTGTAGTGGTCGACGGAGTTTCATCTCCTATCATAAATGCTGGTGTTCCGCAAGGATCAATTCTAGCACCAACACTATTCCTACTCCATATCAACGATTTGTAGGAAGCAACTTCATATCCAGTACACAGCTTCGCTGATGATAGTACATTCGATACCGTCTTCTCTTCCAGGGCTCCAATACCAGCCAGGCAAACCAGAAACAAACGAGGGAGAAATGTTGACAACATAAATATGGACTTGGCAACTATTCTCGAATGGAGATCCGATAACTTGGTAGATTTCAATGGAAACAAAACACGAGCATGCCTTTTTTCTAGAAGAGCCGATCTCACTGTGCCCAACAGCTGCTTGTGGAGAGTAACCATACCTTCGAAGACATCCATTTCGATGCTTGATATTACTATCAGCAATAGCCTTTCATGAGAAAATCACGTGAGATCAATTGCTAAAAGTGCATCCCAAAAACTTGGTTTTCTGTTTCAAGCCAGGAGCTATTCCACTTCCAGTCAGCTGCTCATGATCTATAAGGCACAGATTCGACTTGTCCTGGAATACTGTTCCCATATTTGGAGTGCAGCACCCAAACATACCCTGAAATTGTGGGTGATGCCTCGCTCACGAACTCACTCACTTCTCTGGAAAAGCGTAGAAGAATTGGCGATCTGGCTCTATTTTGAAGATATTTTCATGGACGGTACTCTTCTGAAATATCAACAATTGTTTCTCCCTTGGCAGTCCCCGCGAGATTAACCATCGGAGTTGAGGCTTCGCACTCCTTCGTGGTCACTTTGAAGTCCTGCAGCACATCTCTTTCCGAAGACTCGTTCATCCTACCAACAGCGAGGCTCTGGAACACATTGCCAAGGGAGGTGTTCCCCGAGGCATTCAACCTCCAGAAATCCAAGAAGAACACCAATTCCTACTTCATTTCTCTTGGTTCTCACGATGTTCTCTGAACAATACAGGATATCCCTTTTCATGAGAACCAGAACATAAAAATAAAGTGGTATTCATGTATCACCCTGTATTTGTAAGTCCATCAGCGTTAGGAAGATATTCACATTCATGTAAAATCAATCATCTATGACAACAAATTCGATGAAAAATCATCGTATTCCGATTCATCAGCGTACATAAATCCGCGATCAAATCACAAATGACCACACCTTTGACGGACATTTTCCATCGTAATAAACGAAAATGCAGAATCCAGCTTGATTTTCCGTTTTCCTGCTGTCACTTGTAATAGAATAACGTCGGATCGAATCGGATGAGCTGTTCTTCCATTTTTGTTGATGAATTCCGAAATGAGCAATATTGACGAGCAAATTGAAAAGGAAGTCGAGACTGATTGACGCTAGAGGAAACAGCTGTGAAAAGCGACGTGAAACGTGCCTCCAGCAAAAAAAAAACTGCCAAATTCATATTAACATAATTATGATCCGTTCTTGACAAACTCACTTCTCACATGCTTTAAGTTAGCGACAATAGTCATTTATTATACAAGGGAAAATAGTAGCAGATCTTAGCTCCAGGTTGTGTTGTCTCCCGACGCGTAGCGTAGGGAGACAAAAAACCGTGAGCTTAAATCTAATATTATTCCCGTGTATAATACACTATTTTTTTCTGTGACAGAAGGAAAGACGAATCAATATTGAGAAGATATTACATAATTTTGAAATCTGAAAATTATCGACGTGAAATTTTGAGTTTTTAAAAGTAGGGATACCTGCGTTGTAGGCATCTTTATCATTCTTTTGAAGTAATCAAATATCAGATGTCACTGCTGTCAATCTAATTCTGTAATTTGATTTCAAAAAATTGCGAATTTGGTGGTTGTTTAGTAACCGCGAAGTCGAATGGGAGATAAAAGGACGTGCAGTTCTTTCTCGGAGACGGTATTACTGATTTTACTTGGTTCTTTGGGATTTTCTCTCCTCGTTTCTATAAAATAAAAGTATTCGTATTATTTCAATATATTTGTAGAGGGACAAATCAGATGATTTGCCCCAAAATGTCACTGCGTTTAACAAATTTTTCTATCAGGGAGTCTAAAAGAAAAATCCAGTAGCTTGTCAGTGACAATTTGTTTGAAAAAATTTTTGAAGGAAAGAAATATAGATATATTGAAAAAATATCGAATTTGTACTTATCTTTGGACGTTTCGGGACCGATTCTGCTCCCGTTCTCAACATGTAAATGCAAATTATTTTTCTTTGAAATTTTTGTTGCGTATAGTTTGACACTTTTCAATGTCATACTGATGTTGGCATATGAATGAGTGATTTTAGTCTACAAATGAGTTACAGGATGTTTTCATTAATTGATCTTGAATCTACCATTTTCATGTTCAGTTTTCAGTAGTGAATACCATGTTCTATCAATATCAACTGAACAGGAAGCAATGCTATTGTCTCCGTTTAGAAGAATGCAAGCGGATTCCTTTATTTTTCTTTTTTGTTTGTCATCTTCCTTTCCTATGATTTTGATTATTTATTTATTCCACTGTGCCATATGTTGTCCATCTTCAGTGAGGATATGTTCAGTTAGCTTCGATTTATCGATATGTCTTTTCTTGATATCGTACTTGTGTTCTTTTGTCCTTACTGAGAGAGGTCTCTTCGTTTCACCTGTATAATACTTTCCACAAACACAAGGTATACTATAAATACAATTTTTTGATGATTGTTCTTCATTTTTTGGCTTTGTTTGAGTTAGAATGGATCTCATTGTATTTTCAGTTTTGAACACAGTTTTCACTTGGAACTTATCACCAACACGTTTTATTTTTTCAGATATGCCGGGAATGTACGGTATTATATTCGTAAGGACAAAAGAACACAAGTACAATATCAAGAAAAGACATATCGATAAATCGAAGCTAACTGAACATATCCTCACTGAAGATGGACAACATATGGCACAGTGGAATAATATCAAAATCATAGGAAAGGAAGATAACAAACAAAAAAGAAAAATAAAGGAATCCGCTTGCATTCTTCTAAACGGAGACAATAGCATTGCTTCCTGTTCAGTTGATATTGATAGAACATGGTATTCACTACTGAAAACTGAACATGAAAATGGTAGATTCAAGATCAATTAATGAAAACATCCTGTAACTCATTTGTAGACTAAAATCACTCATTCATATGCCAACATCAGTATGACATTGAAAAGTGTCAAACTATACGCAACAAAAATTTCAAAGAAAAATAATTTGCATTTACATGTTGAGAACGGGGGCAGAATCGGTCCCGAAACGTCCAAAGATAAGTACAAATTCGATATTTTTTCAATATATCTATATTTCTTTCCTTCAAAAATTTTTTCAAACAAATTGTCACTGACAAGCTACTGGATTTTTCTTTTAGACTCCCTGATAGAAAAATTTGTTAAACGCAGTGACATTTTGGGGCAAATCATCTGATTTGTCCCTCTACAAATATATTGAAATAATACGAATACTTTTATTTTATAGAAACGAGGAGAGAAAATCCCAAAGAACCAAGTAAAATGAATGTACCACCTCCTCGATTAACCTACAGACAGTATTTAACGGTATTACTGACTCATTTTTCGGAACCATAGCACAACAAAAGCCATCAACAGTGTATATATATGTGATAAAGATCCAGGAAAGAGTACTCATTTTTTTCCCATGTGAAAGAAGTTATTTATGAAAAGTGACATTTGATAAAACCTGCCAACAGAGTTGGCATGTCAAACTTTTATCCCATCACAGAAAAAAATACTATAATGCTCGCATCTCAGATCACGTTTATTCAGAGGAAATGACGCATCATATTGGTTGATTGGACGGTGCTGGTTAATTTAGTTTTGTTTTGAATGAGAATTCGAATCATATTTCAGAATACCCGATTTTTTGTTGCAATCGTCAACAATTGAAAATATTCATGAAGTCATTGAATATAAAGATGTGTATTGGAGAAATTAGAGATTGGTGACGTCAAATGGCATAGTCAGATTCTGTTTCCTGGTGATATACTGAAGTATTATTTACAGACATGTCGTAAAGAAATTGAAGGGCTCGAAAATGGTGAAAAACATCTATGAAAATTGCGCTGATGATATTCAATGTCTGCCAATAACTCACTTGTACTATTTTAATTCTCAATTACTAGTCTTTTTATTCAGAAAATCATATGAATGGAGTTTGAACTAACATTATCATCGTTATCTGTTACATCTGTATCATCTGTATAATCTATATCCGTTGTATCATCTATATATCCTTTATATCACCATCATCTGTATCACCTGAATCACCAGTATAATTTGTATCATATGTATCATCTGTATCATCTGTATCACCTGAATCATCTTTATCATTTGTAGAATTTGAATCATCTGCTTCATCTGTATCATGTGTATCATCTGTATCATCTGCATTATCTGCATTATCTGCATTATCTGCATCATCTGCATCATTTGTATCATCTGTATCATCTGTATCATCTGTATCATCTGTATCCTCGATATCATGTCCATGGAAAATAGTGAATAGGTAGTAGGTGCCGTTTCACTCTTTTGTTTTCATTCTAATGAATTTGAGCAATATCATTCAACTGTCATGAGGAAATAGTATATCATACAACTAAGGTGAGAAGTGAGTTGGAATATAGCAAGCACTTTTATCCAGAGGCACGAAGAGCTGAAGAATATAATGAGCGAGCTATATTATAGCATTCTCACTCGAGGTATCTAATATGATATTTTTTTCACTAGTAACACTGAGAAATCAATATCCTATATCAATTCAGAATTTCATTTCCATCGGAGAAGCAATGCCATACACCTTGTATATTGAGCATTGTTCATCAAATTCCTAAAATTATGATATTGAAGATGAACCCTGTATTGAAATTCCAGATGAAATTGTGATTCATGAATATAAAAAACGAGTGAGAATATAGAAAACGAGTGAGAATATAGAAAACGAGTGAGCATTTAATATATACTGTGTTGACTTTATGGACACAGTGTATATATTTGACACAATTGACAGTTTCTATTACCAAGGTAAGTTTTAATGACCCATTCACGTCAATTAATTATAATCTACCTAGGTTTGGAAAGTAGTACTTCTCATTAGAGCAAATCATCGAATGATTGTAATTTCTCAGGTTAGTGGTAGAAAAAAAAAGTTTCACAAATACTAAGTTACATAAACTATAAGTAGATGATCTCATAGTGGCGGTCCTGACAAAAAAAAATGTTTCTCACATTGAAAATCTAATCTGATGGATACTATTGAAAATACAGTACAAATTGGTTGAAGCGATTGTGTTTATGAAGGAATATTTGGCCTTCCGTGTACGCCTCCGACAATTCCCTACCAATTCGACTCGTTGGAAACATCAGAGTTAACATTAGATTCCCGTCGGAATCCAACCTGCAACCGTCAATTACGATACGACAAACAAATTGAATCGAGCGGTCTATGGAATGCCATTTTGTGTCAGTCCAGCCAGCCCTATAGGAATATGGAATTGAATTAGTGACACGAGCCAATACCGGAGGTTTCGAGGATCGAAGGAGAATAGCGATAGAATAGAGTTCAATTCACATTCGCATTCCTTGGTAACCCAGTTGAAGTATTTAGATAGGAATGGTGGAGCACGACTACGTCATAATGAGGTCAGCAATACATTAGACCATTCGACCGTGTTTGGCACCAAGGACTCTTCTACACACTACCATCATAATGCTTACCCTTAGCAATAACATCGAGTTCATTTCTAGGCAGCTCGCTTCACTTGGTTGTGGATGGAGTATCGTCTGATATCATTGCTATCAATTCTGGCGTTCCACAAGGATCAATTTTGGCACCAGTATTATTCTCACTATATATCAAAGATCTATTGGGAGTGAAAACTTGCCCCATCTAAGTTTCGGAGATGATAGTGTTCTCCATAATATGATCTCTCACAGAATACCCATTTCTTCCCAGGGAACTAAGAATTCAAAGCGAAAGCAGGTTGATACTGTCAATGGAGATCTTGCAAGAAATCATTGCCTAGGAAACCAACAACCTAGTTGAATTCAATGCCACCTCAACTGAAGCCTGTATTTTCTCTAGGAAGGCGGAACTCAGTATGCCTGATGAAACAATGTCTGGTACCACCATTTCCACCTAGCCCACTTCATCTACGCTTGGTATCTCCATCAGCAATACGAATGCTTGGGATAATCATGCCAGATCTATTGCGAGAGCTGCTTCACAAAGATTCGGATTTTTTTTTCATGCGAAAAGCTACCCAACACCTTAACAGCTTATCATGATCTACTAAGGATAGATTTGTACCCAAACATACGCTGATGCTGTCATAATCCATTTAGAGAATAGCCATGCGCCTAGTGGGTGATGCTACACTTACTAACTTTTAGACGTCATTGTAACACCATGGAAAGGTCAGAGACCTTACACTATTCTTTAGATACTTCCACAGGAAACTGGTCTTCATAAATCTCTGCTATCACACCATCACTAGCATTACTTGTCAGACGAACTCGACAAGCCCAGTCAGCACATCCATTCGTTGTCAACTCCGAAATATGTCGAATTTTTTTCGTCTATAGACCGGCGAAGCTCTGGAGTTCATTGCATGAGGTAGTATCCCAAAGAACTTATAATCTCTCAAAGTACAGAACATCCAATAGTTACCTTTTCTTCTTATCCTTCCTAGGTAGGGATTTCCTCTTGTTATTCAACATGAACAACAGCCTGTGCCCTCATGAAATATATCCAATGCAGGTAGTGATCCTTGTTTGCATTCTGATTATTGATCGATGATTGGACATCTCGCCTTACCTGACCTATCGTTGAAAATAGATTACCAAGATGTCTTCACTGTAATAATTGTTCTGGGATGTTTGTTTTGGTCATTAATGAAGCCCTTCTTCAATTCATGTTTGTTCGAAATGAGGAAGAATAATGTGTTGAATCAGGAATGCACAACATAATTTTAACCAAAAGATAACCAATATTCATGTTGCTAAAGGAGGGGCAGATTGGTCCAAATGAGAATGACTTTATAATCGAATGGAGAGGAGTAGCATTATCAACTTCAACCTCATCGAGTAATGTGAATGAAATATCCCTCATGTTGCCATTTTACAAATATAATTAAGGTGCATTAACTCTAATACTGTTCGCTAATTGTTCAGGCACGTTTGGGTATTTGGCAACCAGAAGCTACTATATGTAGTGTTCACAAGGATTCACGTCCATCAATCAGGTTGTGATGATTTCTCCATTTTCATGGATTTCCTTCACGAAATTGCTGTGTCAACTGGGGGGAAGTGAATTTAGTTCACGTAATGAATACTTTCACTCCCAATCGGTGATCAACAGGGAAACCACCGATAGGTCGAATATAGTTTGACGACATCGATAACGACTATTGTTTTCCATTTTGTCTTAGTACTCTCATAACAGCTCTCAATGAGAACCTGGCACGCTATCATCAACCTTCACTTTGTCGGTTATATTCAAATGAGAATATACCTGATCATATTTTAATAATACATGTCATGAAAAGTGGCTGTTTCATTCTTCAGGATGTTCGTGTTCTTCGAACATATTTGAGAATTGAAATGTAAAGTACAGTAATGGCCCTTAGAACGATCAACGTATTTACTTGACATGCACTGGTAGTGTAAGAAGTCGAATATACAAGCGAAATAATATCTCTCGGAATGATATCTCACTTCAGAGCTAGCTATAAACACAACACTTTTTATAAATCTGATATAATGATGTATTTCGGTAGCTTCCGAACGGTTTCATTTTGTTTGAGGATATTAATACTTCAATTCTGCAGGGAATGTATGCTGCGAGATATGGAAATGTGAAAAAAATAATTCCACCTCACGGAAGTATATTCCTTTGCATCAACAACTGTATTTATTCTACCCGAAGAAATGCCTTAATCCAAGAAAAATATCTCTAATTCGCACGGCAAGACGAAGCATAACTTTGCTGGAAACTGCCATATCCTCGCCTTGGTATAATGATTGTCCTCGTTAGGATAAAAACATTCTCGTGGTCGTCCAAGTTTGCACCTCAAAACTGCCAATTCGTTATAGCGGGCTTGTTTGCAACTGAAGTTACTCCTAATTGAGACGAGCGTTTGCTTTGAAATTGCATACAATATACTACAACGATTCCTACAGACTTCAAAGAGAATCACCAATAATTGGCTACTTTTCTGTTTCTGAATTATCTGTATCATCCTTATCATCTGTAACATCTGTATCATCTGCAGCCTCTGTATCATCTGTAATATCTGTATCATCTGTATCATCTGTATCATCTGTATCATCTTATTTTTTAGGTTCTGGTTCCCACGAAAAGGAATATCCTGTAATGTTCAAAGAACATCATGAGAACCAAGGGAAATAAGGTAGGAATTAGTATTCTTCTTGAATTTCTGAAGGTTATATGCCTCGGGGAACACGTCTCTTGGTAATGTGTTCCAAAGCCTCGCTGTTCGTTGGATGAACGAGTCTTTGGAAAGAGATGTTCTGCAAGTCTTCAAAGTGACCACGAAGGGGCGCAAAGCCTCAACTTGACGATGACGGGTTAATCTCGCGGGAACTGCCAAGGGAGGAACAATTGTTGATATTTCAGAATAGCATCGTCCATGAAAATATCTATAAAATAGAGGCAGATCGCAAACTTTCCTACGGTGTTTCAGAGAAGTGAGTGAGTTTGTGAGCGAGGCATCACCCACGAGACGAATTGCCTTTTTTTGAAAAGAATCCAACAGTTTCAGGGGTGCTGCATTCCAAATATTGGAACAGTATTCCAGGACAGGTCGTATCTGTGCCTTATAGATCATAAGCAGCTGACTGAAAGTGAAATAGTTCCTGGCCCGAAACAGGAAACCAAGTTTTTGGGATGCACTTTCAGCAATTGATCTCACGTGATTTTCCCAAGAAATGTTATTGCTAATAGTGACACCAAGCATCGAAATGGATGTCTTCAAAAGTATGGTTACATGGTTTGCATTGAAATCTACCAAGTAATTGGATTCCTATTCGAGAATTGTTGCCAAGTCCATATTTATGTTGTCTGAACCATTTGTATCATCTGTATCATCTGTACTCACTAACTCACTCTGGACAAATATGATGGCTTATTCTCCTTTGCAACACGCTATAATATTGATAAATTCTACTGACAGAATATTCGAACCATTCGAAAGTGAGAGATCTGTGACCCCTGTTCAATTTGCATCGAGAGTAAAACGGTTTGGATAAATGTTTTCGAACATTGAACATAGCGCCGTAATTTTTGATGAATGTGCCGCTGTCGATGCGGCAGTATATGCACGCTAGATTCACAAATGTACCGATACAGAATTCAATTTGCAGATAGGAAAAAATTAATTGTGGATTTCAATGGACATGTATCATCACTGCATGCTTCGGTGGACTGAAGTTTTTGTTTTTTGTTCCGGAGTTAGTGTTTATAAATAGCTTTGTGTATGACTTTAGATACAATGGAGTCGATATAGCAGACGTGATCTCTCTGAAAGTTATTTTTCATTGCTGAAAGATCCTGATACAGACTGTTGACCCTTTCAATACACATGATGTACCTATCATTGATCGCTATTTAATTCATCAGAAGAACTATTATCATGTACGATGTCTCAGCTGATAACGTTTTTCTTGTTGGTAAGTATGAGTATTTTACGATATACCTAACTTGTTACAAAAACGTTATTTGTTTTTTCGATGTACAACTGGTCGAAGAAAATATGGTTAAAATGTATTGATTATTCTTTATGTCGGCAACTTCTTTTTATGCATTCATTGATATTTTATAGGAACAAGGAGAAAAAACGAAGAAAAAATTCAGGAAAATGGATCTTCATTCACGGTGGCGTTATGCTTACGCATAACTTTTGCCGAAATTTATTTTGCGGTAGTTGCCAAACCTATCGAAACAAATAACGTTACACAGCGTTAATTCGACACATAAAATTGAACGTAATGGTCAATTAAATATACATGCGTTCGCAGTAGGCAATTTATTCGACCGAGTACACAATACACACCACATAATCGGGTAACAGGATGTGCTGCGAGAATTGATGCAAGAGAACATTCCTGTAATGACAATGATCATGAGTTCCCCCAATTCGATGAAAAATACTTCACTGATCTGATTCGATTTTCAGTCACTCTGATCTGTTGATAATCAAATGGTCGACCGATACTTTTTCTGATCCGAATCCATTGAGATTTTTTTCCCGATGTTTCTATTACCTATTGACACAGATGATATGTTCTTAAATTTCACCACGTTGAAACAACTTTACTACTTATCCGAAACCATGAAAGAAATGCCTCAATAATTTACACTGAGAATACATATTGTTTTTTTTATGTTCTGGTTTCCACGAAAAAGGATATCCTGTAATATTCAGGAAACATCGTGAGAACCAAGGGGATTAAGGTGGGAATTGGTGTTCTTCTCGAATTTCTGGAGGTTATATGATTCGGGGAACACCTACCTTGAAAATGTGGTCCAGAGCCTCGCATTTAGTGCAATTATCATTCACTATGACAACACGATCGAATTCACGAAAAAATTATCTCGAAGGGCGTTATTCACTTCATGAAATTCGTCCCATGATATTTACTGCGTTCTGGTCGGCAAATGAGCTTGAGTGAGCTTCGAGCTTTTATGCTATGGAAACATTGAAGAGGTTGCTGAGGGTTGT